CAAATACGTCTGAGTTACAACCCAGGTCCCCCCCGCCGGCTTGAAGGGCTCAGGAACACAATGGAGTTGCCGTGTGTAAGCAGTGACTGCATGCCTCCTGCTAGCCCACAGCAACTGGAAAGCTAGCTGAAGACAATGCGAGAGAGGCTGCAGTTACGCAGGCGCTGCAAGGAGCACTACGATGGTAGTTGCCATGCTTCAGCTGATGTGCAGTAGCTCATCAAGCTACAGCCACTTGATCATCTGGGTGCCCAGAGGCAGGATTTTGCGTATCCTGATCTAAAGGTGAACAAGGTATTTCAAAACCCAGATCCATGCCAGAGTAGCACCTGGGATGAGTGGCCCTTCCCAAAAATCTTGTAAAACCAAAGCTTGCAAGGAAAACCACACTGCAGAGATGCTGCTGTGCTCGATTCAAGAGGGTGTTGTGTTGTCTCCTGCAGGTTGGTGAATGGGCAATTCGGAAACTGGGCCTTGTGAAATATGGAGAAAAATATGCAGGGAACTACAGTGGGGGAAACAGACGCAAGCTCTCCACAGCGATTGCCCTCATTGGGGGGCCACCTGTGGTATTCCTGGTGAGTTGGCAACATTTGCTTGTTAACGTTTTCCACTGAAAAATAGAAACCAGGTTTGAGTGAAGACGGGATGGGATGCTTCATGGCGAGCTAACATTTAAAACATCATTAGTCACTTAAATGGGAATAAAGAACATATACGACTAAAGAGTCCCTGTTTAAATGTAGGGTCAAAGTATAGCATGCCTGCAGGCCTCTGTTCCTGCAAATTTGCGGCAGAAGCGGGGACCTCAAGCGTGTTGCCAAACTACCAACTTCTAGAGCATCTTCAGCACCTGAACACCACTGCTAAGATTTCTATACTTACAAAAAGCTACGGCTTTCCAGAATGTTTAGCTTTTGTGACAGCAAATCTTACTGCCTACAAGAATCAGCCCTGTGTTTCTAATAATTCTGTGAAAGTTGGAAATAAAGGTTTTATGATTCTTTGGAAAAACGTAAGGATTACTGAAGTTCATAGCGTAGGAAAAATGGTCTAATGATCTCTTTAAACTTCAGGTAATTGAATTTAACTTGTTTTAGAACTGCATATTTCAATGTTATAATTGCAGAATAAGCAGTGCTTCTCAATTCTTTAGTAGATTTTACCTCATTTAAAATTTGGAGCATAAATTATTTTTCCATTCTGGAGAAACAAGAATAGAAGTACTCAAAGCTTGTTTCTAGCGTTCCGCTTCTCCAGTATGCGTAATGGGAACGGCCAAGACATTTCAGAGATTAGGGTATTTATCAGTAAAGTGTAATAGCCAAAACCTGGTTTGTCATGGGTGTTTTGCAGGATGAGCCGACAACAGGCATGGATCCCAAAGCACGCCGTTTCCTATGGAACTGTGCTCTGAGTGTCATCAAGGAGGGGAGATCAGTGGTGCTCACATCTCACAGGCATGTAGCAATTCAGTTGTGTCATACCCCTGCTATTGCATCCACTGGGGTTGGATGCTCAAGTTGCTTCAGCTGCTCTGCTGTTTGGTACTGCTTGCGGTACTAATGAGGTTACTTCTGCTTACAGCATGGAAGAATGTGAAGCACTGTGCACACGAATGGCGATAATGGTCAATGGGCGGTTCAGGTGCCTGGGCAGTGTCCAGCACCTAAAGAACAGGTAACTATTTTCTTTCTACTTATCCCACAGAGTTGTCGGTATTTTTAGGGAGATACAAACAGATCAGTCTTGCTTTCATGCACAGCATTCCTATTGCTTTCAGGCTACAGAAGAAGCTGCAGGATTTTAAGTTGCACTTCTTTTGCAAAGCCACTTACTTAAACTGTGCTGGCCCTCTTGTTTGCAGATTTGGAGATGGTTACACCATAGTGGTGCGAATTGCAGGGGCAAACCCGGACCTGAAGCCGGTGGAGGAATTCTTTGGGCTTGCCTTTCCTGGAAGTGTCCTGAAGGAAAAGCATCGGAATATGCTTCAGTACCAGCTTCCTTCTTCACCATCTTCCCTGGCCAGAATATTTAGCATCCTCTCCCAGAACAAAAAGAGACTCCACATAGAAGACTACTCCGTTTCTCAGACCACACTTGACCAAGTAAGTTACTAGTAGCCTGTGTGCCAAAAGTTCCTTCCAGTGCAATAGGAGTAACTCCAGCAACTTACTGGCCCTATCTTATAAATGCATTTCAGCAAACTAGAGCCTAACCTTTATGGCTAAACAAAGGGATGAGGTAGGCATGAGCAGGTCAGTCAGTCAAAATCTTTGAAAGAAAGACTTGCACTCTGCAGCATCTTTGGGAATTCTTTGTGTACTCTGGGCTAGATTTTTTAAAATTTGTTTATTCTCCCAGAATGGCTATTCTTGCACAGCTGATCAAGCCCACCCTTTATTCCTGTGCTGATAATTTTGTCCATCAGTGAAGGCAATGCAAATTTGTCAGGATATGAAAACAGGTAAATTACCAGAGGGAACTAATTCACAGTGACTGCTGACTCTTCTCCCCCACAGAATATTCAAGGTAACTTGGGAAACTTTTTTAATGATGAAACGAGAAATTTCTCTTCCTTTATCACGTGATTAGAAGATTTGTTAGGCAGATGCTTTGGAGAATTAGAAAGTATTGCAACTTGTTTATGGAACCAAAACCCTCTTCATTTCATAGGCAGTACTGATCCCCAGAACTAGCCCAGAAAGGCCCACTGTATAAAATGCCACGAACTAATCAAATTCTAGAGTGATTTGTGACATGGCCTTTTCTCTTACAGGTATTTGTAAATTTTGCTAAGGACCAAAGCGACGACGACCACACTAAGGACCTGTCATTGCACAAAAACCAGACTGTGGTAGATATTGCAATCCTTAATTCCTTTCTGCAAGATGAGAAGGTGAAAGAAAGTTGTGTGTGAGCCAATTTCAGCAGAGGAATGATGAGCAGAATGCGGACTGCCTTGGCTGGATACAATACTCCCAAGGAAGAAGCTAGAGAAAAAGAAACTGGACGCTCTACTGATAACCATTCAATGCAACGCAATTCAATGCAATGAAAACAAAATTCCATTACAGAGGCCATGCCCCATGGAGTCGTCGTCTTGTACTGTTCTCAAGTGAAAGACTTGAAGTTAGCTCATTACAATATAACTCTGTGAAGCTGTGGTAAAGCACCCACCAGATGCTGTGGGCTTTCAACCATACTGAATCTTGTCCTATACAGTATATTTTTACTAGGGTTGCAAAAATAGTTCATTGAGGATTCATGGCCAGTGGTTATTTATTGATATTTTAAAGACATGCATGTTTTACTCTTGGAAACATTCATGTCAAGAATGGGGATTCCTTGGTGCTAAATCCATTGCTGGCAATGAATGCACCAAAACAGTCAGTGGCAAGAAAAGTCACCAAACAACAGTGTTGTGGCCTTATTTTGTGAAAAGTGACCTGACCAGCTGCTTTTCCTGGACTGGTGTAGGTCATATGGGGATAAATCTGAGGCCACAAAGCTGTACTGTGCAGATGGGTTGTATGGACATGATGACCTGTCTCTTCTCATCTACTTCAGTGAGTGGTGATATGCAGAAATGTGAACCCTGCAAATACACAGGATTGTCCCACCAGCATCAAAACCAATAACCTACTCTGACTAGGTTTTTTTGTGTAGTTAAGTACTCTCTTGCTCCTTTGGAGGTACTGCAGCAGCTGCATGAACACCTAGTAGAAGGAAGTGGGTGACAAGCAGATCTAGGGTTTGGACCACAGCAGCAAACTCACTGGTTATACAAGCTGCTAATGCCAAGAGCAAATGCTAAACCATGAGACATCACTCAGATATGTAATGTCTGCTCTTTAACCCCTGCTTTGCATCAGAAAGGTACCCATCATCTGAAGTTATTGCTTAGCACAAGCGTGTTGCCATTTTTGGCTTTGCCAGATAAAACTAGATACAAGATGTAGATTTTTTTTTTTTTAAACAGTATTATTTATATGATATTAAATAGATAGGTAGCATAATTAGGGATTTAAAGTGCTTTCAGTTGATCTTTGTAGCCACAGTATTTCTTTACATTATGCCTGCAATGCTTGCTCTCCTTCTCTCCATTCAGTGATAGCTACGTTCATGATCTGCCCAAGTTCCAGACTCAAGCAATCAACCACTATCTGGAATTACTGTTAAGTTGTTCACCTAGAATTTTCCTGTTTGGAAACTGATATAACATTAGATTAATGTGCAAGTTTCTACTTCTGTAGTGCAGTGTAGTTTCAGTCATTAGGTGACCCCTAACTGGAGAATATACCCTTATTCATGTGAGAAAATGCTTCAGTAAAATTTCCTTTGAAGAACAAGGTAGTTCAAAGTAGTAGTGCTACAATTACATTGATCAATAATTTTTTTTAAGTAAGTTTTACAAAGCCAGAAGAATATTAGAGGGGAGACTGTGCTGAGGACAACCAATTCTTCTTTAGCTCGTACAGCAGTCATGGGGGAGTGTGCTTGCATTAATATGCTTATGAGTACACATACATGAACATACCTGCATTTTGCTTCTACATTCAGAAATATGTTCAGTAATATGGTTTGAACCCAACAGCTGGGTTATCCCGGTATGTTACGCCTTTGCCTTAAATAGCTGTTCAAGTTCCACACTAGTTCTTAACGCTACTCCACCAGGAGTATGATTTACCGACCATTTTCTTCTCTAAACGCCTGCAGCAGCCCAACAAACAGTGAAAGGGCTGGAATGAGCCTGAAGAGGGGTAATTACATATTTCTGGATGTAGCTGGAAACACTGACAAATTCAGCATTTTTAATATATAAACAGTGAAATATTTTGCGCAAGTCCCCAGGTCCCAGTGGATCCTGCCTTGGGATAAAGTATGAGCTTCCTACAGCTCTGCTAAAGTGCCTTTTTCATATGTATATTTTTTTTTTAATGAATGGAATATATTGCTAAGGGAGGGAGAAAGGAGAGAGAGAAATGGGGATTGGCATACCTCATTTAAAGCATACTCTGTTACGATCTTTATGGCATCCCCACCCCCGATGCCGAGTATAGGGTCTCATATAT